AATTTATAGATCTATGGCTGGTAGTAAACTAAACATTAAAACAGCCAATACTAGCAATTAACAATGATATTAATTTGACATTGCACATGTAATATGAAAAAATGAGATCACCAATGATTGGGCAAACACCTACCTAATTTTTGACCATAATAATAATTATTGAAAAATTTTAAATATTTAAAAAAATTTTAAATAATTTTTAAAAAATTAAAAATATTTTTAAAAATTAAAAAAATGTTGTTGTTGTTGTTTTTGTTGTCATTGTTGTTGTTATTACTATTTTTGTTATTGCTGATAATAATAATAATAATAATATTTTTTAAAATAATCCAGTTAAGCATCAATTTGTGTATATTAATTGTCTTTAGCATCCATACATTAATTGGCTCCACCATCATCGGCTCCACCATCATCATTGACCCCACCATTATTGGCCCCACCATTGTTGGCCCCACCGTTATTTGCCCCACCATTATTTGCCCCACCGTTATTGGCTCCACCGTTATTTGCCCCACCATTATTGACTCGATCGTTATTAGCCCCACCGTTATTAGCTCCACCGTTATTTGCCCCACCGTTATTGACCCCACCATTATTGGCCCCACCGTTATTGACTCCACCGTTATTAGCCCCACCATTATTAGCTCCATCGTTAATGGCTCCACCATTATTAGCCCCATCATTATCGACTGCACCGTAATTCACCCTGCCATTATGGGCCCCACGGTTAAATGCCCCATGGTTATTGGCTCCGCCATTATTGGCCTTACCTTTCCATGGTTTTCTGTAGCAGCAGATTGCCATGATTATTATACCAACAATTAAGACAAAAATGATAGGAATAGTAGCTGCAAGTATAGTTGTATCATTATTCTTTGGATGACTAATGGGTATGGGTGTTGAGTTTAATCTTAAGAATCCATTACCATCAGGGTATGGAACCATCACTGAGCATGAGTAATCCCCTTTGTTATCATCTGTTAACTTATCAATTTTTTAAGTGCAGACTCCCTCAGTTGTATCATAATAAATAGATATTCCATTTTTGTGCTCAACT